CTTCTTAGACGAAGTAAAAAAATAATGTAAAGGTATAATAATTTCACTATACTTTTCTTTTAAATAGCTCTATTTATGACCCTCTAGGCTTACATTCATGTTAGGAAAGAGACGGGAGAATATGCATTGGAGTTTTACACCCATGTTAGAGAATAAGGGTATGTAGAATGTGCATTGAAGATCTTAATATTTACAAAGGTACTGGAGGTATGTATATACATACTTTTTTTTTCTTTATTTCACTTGCTCAACCACTTAGTAATAAAGGCTTATTAACATTATATAAATATACTTCAGTTGAAATCTAATAGGAATAGTCTCTAGTATCAAAGGAAATAAATTCATAAATAAATGCTATTCAGATAGATAGAAAAATATTCAAAATATTTTAGAGATCAGTTTATGTATGAAATTATTTTATCACACAAGTATAGTTTCACAGATAATTTGCAAACTATTACATATTACATCATATATACTTTAACGAGGATCAGAAACACATTTTATTTATATCACATATGTTAAAATATTAGTCATAAGACGCTTAGCATAGTAGTGCATACATATTTTTTATTAAGATAATATTCAAGATCTTGATTAAGAAATAGGCAGATCATGCAAGAAAAAAAATATGTGTGAATAGTTATATATTAATAAAGTAATAATCTATATTTAAAACATTTTTCAGAATCAATCAGTCATCCAATTAAACAATTGTAATTTCTATCCTATCTCTCAATCTTAAAATAGTGTCTTTTGGCCAATTAAGATGGTTTATAGATGGTAGGATCTCAAAGAAACCTAGTAAGTTATTTTGTTTACATATAGAGATGAGATAAATAATCTGTTTATATTGCTTTTGTAATTTGAGGATTGATAAGAAATTAGTGAAAACATTTCTTGTTTAACACTAGGTATAGTATTATTTGTTATAGTTATAGTCTTAGCCTTGAAGCAAGAGCAATCCTAATGATTCTTTATCAAATTTTCAGACTCAACTTCATAGGCCCATCTGTGCTATCCATCATAATATACTTTTCTAAGCTTTACTTCAGTAATCTTTACCAATTTCCAGCATTTGAAACAGATAATCATCTGACTTTTATAGATACTAGGTTTATAATATCCAAAGTAGTCTTCATATAACTCACCATTAACACAGTATATTTTGGATTCCACTTGTTCGAATAAAATAAAAAGGCTGTATATATGATATAAACTATATTCTCACTTAGAAAGTAATTTTTGCAGAGAATCTCTTACACAATTAGCCTATTGCTGAGGTGTTTCATAGAATCTAATAATAGACAAATAATCATATTATTTTTCTATTTCAACCACTTTTTTAAACTATTTATTTATATGACCGCGATAATAATTAGCAACATATTCCATATCATATCCAGAACAGAGGGGTTTAGGTACAGTTTTATTATAAATATTATTTAAAATGATCTTAACTATTAATCTGAGTATATTTAATAATTATATGTGATTATTTGCAATAAATAAGACTTATAGTATTTTTTAGTGAATATTTATCATTATAGCAGTTTGTAATAAATATATTATAATAAAATATCAAATTTATTTTTATTCGATTACAAACATATTGGGAGGCTTATATAGAGTTTTTTATCCTAGCTATGCTAATTTCTTTTTTCTAAAAAAGGTAATTTAGCAGATATACTATCTAGATATGCTATTATTAGAATATTGTCACTTGCAGTCAATATATTAAGGAGAAAGGATCACATTATAAAAATAATAGTAAGCTTTCTTCTGAAGGTCTATAACCGAAGAAGGCTGAAGGAGTCGTATATATTCATATGCATCTAAATCAATTTGTAGATTTTTCATGATTAATAGAATCAATCTTCTGATGTCATAATTCAGTTAAATTAGATCCGAAATAATATAATAGCTTAATTATTCTCAGATCTATTAATCAGAGATGTATGATGTATATTATATCACAGGAATCACCCTGGCTTTCTGACAGTTTCACAATATTCTCCAAGAACTATCATAGTGCTAAGATGTTCCATTTTTATAAGAAAAAAAATGCAAATTATCTGAATCTTCTGATCGTTACCAATGGTAATGGTTTTTACAAAAAAAAAATTTGATACAAATGAACGAAGTTTATTAATAATTTTTCAAATATATAGCAAATCAAAAAATGCTGAAGAAGCGATTGAAATAAATGATGCTATCAAAGAGGAAGGGAGTTCTTCGATTTTAAGCTATAAATGAGAATCTTAACATCATTTTTATTTTACACTACTACCTTTACTGAAAGTGTTACTATTATTACTACTACTGCTACTACTGCTTCTCGAAAAACTAACCATCTTTTTTTCATTTTCTCTATCAACCTAAACCTTTATTTTATCCATTGTCATTACCCTCAAAATTGTTTGATATCTATAAAAACTCGCTAATATGGCTGGATTAAGTCTAACCTCATTTTTATTAGATAATATATTATATAATTATACAAAGAAACAACCTTCTCTTTTCTTCTTTGATTAAAGAGAGCTGAAAACTCAATCCAATATGTTTCTATATCTTCACTATAAATGGAATATCATCTAATTGATATATAGACCCCCGCCAAAAATCTCTGAACACCTTTTAGCTCAATATAAAACTCAAAATTTTAAAGTTTATTGAAAAAAAGTTTATTAATATATTTATTAATATATGATATGCTATACATTTTGTACTAAGTAATTAGTATTTGGTCGGGCCTCCATTTGCTTTAATTATAGTCTGAATTTGCTACAGCATACTATCAATCAAATTTTTAATAGTATGTATAGGAATTTCTCGCCATACCTTCTTAACATATCGGTTGAGTTCAGCAAGATTTGAAGGCTTTTTTTCCTTTCACGAATGCTTTTCTTAACATCAGTCCACAGATTCTCAATTGGATTAAGGTCTGAACTTTGAGCCAGCTATAGAAGTACGTACAGATCATTTTTGCATAAAATTTCTTTGCAAATTTCATTTTATGAGGGCAAGCATTATTCGCCTAGAATATACCATTACCATTTGGAAATGCATGTCTCATAGTTGGCATAACGTGCTTATAAAAGAAGATAACATGTGAAGCACCATTTGCTGTTCCAAATAATGGAACAATGGGTCCCAAGCCTTGTTTTGAAAAGTATCTCCAAAACATTTAGCCAGGGCTGTGTTTCACTGTAGTAGAAATATAAGAAATGTTTCATTTTTCCTAAGGTTTCTGCTACACTTGACTATATCAGCTTTGTTGGAATTGAGAAAAGGTCGATTCATCACTCTACATGACTTTCGACTAATCATTCTTTGTTCAGCTTTGGTGATTCAAATATTATGCAAAATGTGCCTCTATATTTGTTGGTGAGATTAGAGGTTTTTATCGAGCAAGACAATTGTTTAGCGTAACTGCACAAAGTGTTCAGCCAATAGTGCAAGCTAAAACATCTTGGCTGGTCTTTTTTTTCCAAAGTTATTGAACTTCTGCAGTGCATAAGTGACGATTTTTTCCTTTATCATTGGTTACAAGTCGCTTGAATCAGTTTTGTTATAAGGTTCAATAAGAGGTGGTTGACCAGAACGAGGCTTCAAATTAGTAGTTCCAGTGTCATCTATTCTTTTTAAAGTATAAAATACTGTTGACATTTCATAACTGATGGTCTCAGAAATAGTTTGGTAACTATCGCCACGTTGATGATAAAAAAATATAGAGCCACGTTGTTTTACTATTAATTCTTGGATCATTTTCATTGTTTTCAGAAGATTAAAGTTTATTTTAATTTAAAATCAAAATAAACAAACTAAATGCACATTTATTAGGTTTGACTTATGTAAACAAAGTCCAGAACATTATATGACCGCAGTATTATAAAGTCACATGACGTTATCCATATGAAATCACACTTAAAAAATGGTATTCAAAGACTTTTGGTGGAAGTCTATATTACTTGTAGCTGAAAACTGATTAGAGCTGGCTAGAAAGAGAATAAATCATATTAGATCTTATCCTAAAAAATGTTAAAAAATCAGTCATACAAAAGAATATTATATCTTGAAAGATTGCATCATTTCTCCATTCAGCCTCTTTACGCATTTTCTAGAGATCATTTTTTATCTTCAGGATTTCAGGATTATTATTTTCCTAGGTCTTTCTCAGTGAAAATAGATGAATAAGATCACAAGACTTATATAGATAATTATATTTCTAAAAAAAAAAAGCCTAAAGCATATTTAGCGTTATGATGCCTTAAAGGTGCATCTTATAAATGATGAATATGATAGTAAAGAGTGCAATAGAAAAATTTTCAAATTTTAAGAACATTTTGCAGAATAGTTTTAGAAAATGATAAATTATGTAGTTTGATAGTTTGAAGAGTCTGGGTGACTTTGACAAAAATATATATATTTGATTTTATTTTTTTCTTACTTAAGCCTTCCTATACATCCACCATTTTTATAATTATATTCCTTTCGCAGTTGATCATCGCAAAATATGAAAGTCTTTGAATTTTCACTAATCGATTCTGAGTTGCAAATTAACCTAACGGGTGATCAGTCAAAGGTGTTTCACCAAAAAATTTAACGCTATTCATATGTAAAGATCATTAAAGGGCTTTATATAATTTTGAGAATATTCAAGCAAGTTTGAGAATAAATTATTATGCGTAGTTGCTTATTCCTGTAACATATAATGATTACCATAATATTACTGCACATTATTTATCAAGCTACAATTGATCTACAAGGAATAAACATTGTGTCTAGGCTTGTCTAATTACATAGAAGCAGAATCAGTATCTGGATGAATAATACTCAGATGCAACTAACTCCTCCATTTCAGACTTGGATGAATCAAAATCATCTGTTTTTGAATAATAATATTCTTTATTTTTTGGATACTTACAAAATGACACAAAACTATCATATATTATTATCCCTTTTTTTCATATATCTATTTTTGCTTCACGTATCCATAACTATAGTATTCCTAATATGAGATCAGCTTTTCCTAACTTCGTAACAACCTCAAAATCATTAAAAGCTTCGTCATTATCAGAGACTAGTCTATCTTTTTCTTTGTATCAGAAAGATATATCTAAGCAATCTATAGTGCCTAATGAGTTTTTCACTCTTTTGTTTTTATAATGCTTTTCATATCGTCTTCTAAGCTTATCAGCTAAGTTTTTGCTAATTTTATTTATACTAGAAATTGTGTTAATTAGAGCCTTAACTGTATAGTATTCGTGTTCTTTATTTATTGCTCTGAAACAGGTTTTCTGATATCTATCATTATCACCTTAGAATTGCCAAATTTTACAATTTACATAAGTCATTTTTTAGTGTTATGTTTTATAACTAAATATTTATTGCGTTAGAAAAAAATCTAATAATTATACCTCCTTGTTTTATTAAACTGTAGGAGAGGGTATTTGTCATCCAACCCTTCTCTTTCTCTTAGAATCAAATAATAAAATGCCTTTACTAAATTGTAAAATTCATTTGGAATATCAATATTATTTGGATATTTTCTGATCAAACCTATACTGACATTAGTAGATAGAACTATTTTAGCTAATACCTTAGTCGCTGACATTGCGTCCTCTGTATTTTTAAAAAGTTCATACAGAATTAGTACTTGTACAAAATTATCAATATATCCTCTGTTGTGTATATCATAGACTGGGTTATGCTGAAAACTATTATTAAATAAATATTCAGCTATCATCTTTTCTATAACTGAATATTTATCGCTCTAGAAAAAAAAATCTAATAATTATGTAAACTCTATGACTTAGCTGATTCAACTCACTCACAAGTCTAGCTTATTGCTAGTAGCTGAATATGTGAGACATACATTCATTTTGGTATTTTTCTGAAAGTTTAGCCCTTATAGCTTTTTTTTCAACCTCTTTATAGGAAATATCATCTTTGATCATATTCTTATAAATCATAATATGCCAATGCTCATATGGTAAAGTGGTTATCCCATCTAATAATATCTAACGTTTAGTATCTATTGGGCAGAGGGCCCTTTTCTCAGATTCGACCAGAGATAATATATGGTCTTTTGATCGAATACCTATATTCTTGATATAGAATACTATTAACGTGTAATTCTTATAAACTACGACTGTTAGACGGGATGTTCAAGCAGTTATTCTTTTTAATTGCACAGTAATCTTTCAACAGTTTGTAAGTTTTAATTCAAACAATTTATCAAAAGTATTTATATGATTACAGTGAGTTACGATTTAACAGATTGCCAGTAAATTGTATTTATAAATAATGTGTTTATTCACGAGTAAAATAATAATATAGAGAATAAAAATAAAGAAAAGTAAAGAAAATAAAAGAAAATAAGAAAAGAAAAGAAAAGAAACGAAATACTAAAGCTAAAAGGTGACGCAGTAGGCCAGTTGCCTCTAAAACTACTAAAACTATCTTGTTAAGTTTCTATCTATCTCTCCCTTTACATGAACTAAAAAGCTATCTATTTATATAAAATAATTTACATATAAAGATATAACTAATATGTCTACTATGTTAACTATGTCTAATATATCAACTAAATCTAATATGTCAACTATGTCAAATATGTCAGTTATGTCACATATGTCTGACATATCACATATATCACTTATGTCAATTTAGTCAATCTTTTGTATCACATAAGCTGCGTCACAATTATCCATTCATAATACTTCCTTACCAAAGAGATAATCTTGATATACTAGAGTCATAAGATCTGCCTCAGTTCGCATAATCAAGTCCTTAACCTCTTGTTCTATCAATTTAGACTTATCAACTAGATCATCTAGTAAGGATCCTTCTAAAGCTAGCATGTATGTATTTGTGATCATATCACTCATACCCTTCTTATTAATCTCCTTATACTTAGACTGTATTGATTTATCTGCTAAGACGTAATGGTATAATTTTGAGCGAATATGCATAGATTCTGTGATTATATTACCTGGAGTTTTATCCTTATATTTGCCGACAGTTTGATCTCCATTAAGATTAAAGAGGTCTGGTCACACATCCATATCTTTATAAACATATTCAGTCTCAACATAATATATAAATAAATCTGTATCCATATAGTCAAGCTTTGCTTTATCACTATATCTTTTTTTCATATATCCATACTAGAATTCATACATGTAAAGCTTACCAAGTCCTAAGACAAATGCTCTGACTATGATAGGCTTATTAAGAGTTACATTGACCTTTCCCATATGTATTCTTATTAGCATATTACTAAGATACCTAGCATACTTAAATGAGGGTTTGCAGACCTTTTTCAAGAAAATTTTTTCATTTTGCTCATTATTCTTCTTCATAATCTTAACATCCTGATACTTGCAAACATTTTCCATAGTTTTGCCATATACTGATACATTCATAAGTTTGAAAAAGTCACTCAAAAATGTATTTTCAGTTTTTTTAGCCTCATTACGTTTCTTAGTATTAAAAGTTATATATGATTCAAGCTAGTTAGTCTGGTTGAAGAAGAATATCTCTGAAACTTCATCTACAATTATACTTAATTTTACATAATATTAGAGCTCTTGGTAATGGATGATATAGTTTTTTCGTGATCTAAGATGGGAAACTAATTTTTCTGTGACAAAGAAACGTCTACCATCTAATTGTTCTACAAGTTTAACATTATATGAATATAACCAATCCTTTTCTACAGCGACATTCTCTCTCAGTTGTGATATTTTGTAAAGTAACCTGAATAGTATTTAATGAGTCTCTAATTCTATCTATAACATTAGCGAAATTTTATATAGGTATATCAACCCTCTAATGTGATTTTTAATTCAATCTAACCCTCTATTAAAATTTGCAATAAGATTAGTTGTTGTTATATTTAAAGCATTTATTGAGATTTTTTTATCTATGAGAATCTGAATTCTTGCTTTAAGATTTTTAACCTTATTTTCAAACTCTATTATTTGGCCATCTTGAATGAATCTAACCTCATTCTTGAATTTTTTATCCTATTATAAAATCTTAAGCTATTTTCACAAATCAGATATTTCTGATTTAAGTTTCTCTACCTCTTTTTTGTAAGCTATAATAGTATTATCCTATAATAAGATAGTTCAATAATATTGCTCAAGCTTCTTTACAAGAGAATGAAGTTTTTTCTCATTATTCTTATTAATAAAAATCTCATCTTGAAGCTTACTACGAAGCTTCTGATTCATATCTAAAAGCTGTAAATATACTAAATCAAATATTCTATTATTCAGTCTTGATTTATAGTACTATCATAATATTTCTGTCTTAAGAATGAGTCAATCCCAAATTGTAATAAATCTATATGATGAGCTCCATATAGTTTGTAGGCTTTTATATTATAATATATCTGATTTTTATCCTAATTCAAAAAAAATACATAAAGCGTGTCAGGAGGAAGAATATTTTTTTTGATTACAAAATATTATGAAATAGGTAAAATATCAATATAGCTACTAAATTTATATACAACTATTATCATATAAAGTTGAAGCAAGTTTTTCAAAAATTAAAATCCCAAATAAGATCAACCAATGTGATATTTAGCTTTATACTCATAATAATCAGGATGGTAAAAGGGTATTTGTTTGTAGATTTCTAGTCATAGATATGGCAACATATTTTAAGGTTAAGCATTTATTAATATCAAAAAATAGTTTAGAAATCTAAATCACAATCAAAGAAATATATAAGGATCCTTCTAATCTTCTTACATGCATTTTTACGAGGGTTGCAATAGTACAATATTACTATAAGTATTGTCAATCTTTATAATTTTGAGAGCTTGGCTTTTATTAAAGCATTTAAGAAAAATTTAGTAAAACTAATATATAAGATCTAATACGCTATAGAAAGGCGATTAATTGAAGGAAAACATTTAAGGCTCTGAAATAAAATCCTTCAAAAATACATTGACTTTTGAATAATAGCAGAACTCATCTTATCAGAATGTTACCAGCTCATGCTAAAACTTTAGACAAAGTTGAATTAAAACCTCTAGTAAAGCTAAATAGACAATTAGAAGGCATGAAGAGATAAAGTTAAAGAAGGATATAGTGGTTAGAAATCTATTGAAATTGGGTAAACTAGAAAGTGATTACAGGCATTAAGCAATTAATCTATACTAGTCATTGCGTATTTATAAAATCAAAAAAGTTGTTATTAGAAGAAATCCATCACAATCAGTCTTATATTATCTTGAGAACGAGCTTATTGAATCAACTGCTCACTTGATAAAACAGAATTCCAAATGACCTTATAAATATAAGAAGCTTTAAGTGATTGAGGAACCTGATAAAATCAAGTATCCACCTGATGGATTTATGTGAAAATATCATTCTACTGAGTTTGTCTATTATATTAAAATTACTAATGATAATTTAACTGAAGCTCATCAATATGTTAAAAACGTGGTAGCCAATGCCTAAGAAGAACTGGGCAAGTAAATGGTCATAATGTTTATCTTTAGTCTTGTAAAAATAGTGTATATTAATAGGAGTATCCATTAAAATACATCATAAAAAAATTTGAATAGTACCCTCTATACCACTACATTGCTGAAAGAAATGTATATTACATTTTCAAGGATCTATTAGGTAAGAAATTTCCACTATGTAGGCCTAATTTTTTGGATGAGATGCATCTCAATGAGTATAATGAGAAATTGCATCTCTGTATGTTCCTCTCTAATGCACTTTATTTTTGAAAAATCCCAAAGATTCTGGGTAAAAAGATGTGTTATCTAATCTAATATAGAAAAAGTTGCAAATATTACCATCAATGATAAAAATGAGGACTTTATCTCTTTTGATTTTAATCTCCCATATACCATTCCTTAAATTGCATTCGAATACCAAAGTTCTTAACATTATCATCATAATAGTTTGTATCATTGGAAGAGTGGAAGTTTAGAAATACAAAGATAATATGATCAGAAGAAGCGAGACACTTGTAAGAATTAAGAAATATGCTTCATTGAAGTTCCTTATACAACTGATCTCTTGTCCTATATCAGACATATTCTAATTGAGAAAGGGTTTTTGAATAAAGTGAAACCTAATCCTTGAAAGCTCACATGATAAAAAAATATTACTAATAGTAATGATCAAGATTTGAGATTGCTAAGAATTTGTAAAATCTGTGATCTCAGAAATTTACTAAGAAATTCATTTCGATATATAATACTATATGGAATTCTTTAAGTATAATATTGACGAGATTTTCAGAAAATCTTTGAAGCGAATAAAGGGCAATAAATATAATCCAGATTGGCCTTTTCTTCTTTTAGTTATTGAAGGCTTACATAGTGAAAAAACTAATATGATTATCAATCTTTTTTAGGTAACAAATTCCAACGTATGTTTAAAGATAAGAAGGAAAATAGATATATTAAAAATAATGATCTCATTTTAGTTAGAAAGCATGCCAAACCTAAATGAGAACTAGTTAAAAATGCTATCTATATTTTTACGAATAGTCCTACACTATATTAAGAGAATATCACATTTTAAACAATAAAGGTAGAAAAGATTTCAGATATAAGAAAATTCTTTCCAAAAAGAAGCACTGTTGTTATTTTTAAAGATCTTTGTATTGAATTGAAAAAAGTATAGTCTTTTATTTTATTAATGAACGACATCAAAACATATTCCCTATATATATGACTCAGAAATATCAAGCTATGCTGAAGATAATTCGTGAAAATATCTCACATCTAGATATATTCTGAGGCAGTGATAGCCAGAATGATATCCATAAAGTCATACATCAATATATGGATGATTCAAAAAAAATGTCTAAAATCATTGATAAGCATTTGCAAGATAAAAATTTGTAGTCTTTGATTTCACTAAGCTGATAGATGATCTATTAGCGATTAAACTAGACTAAAATTCTTCTTTGAAGTTAGATGAGTAGAATTTCTTAAGTTTAAGAACGAAATGTATATTTTTTCTTAGTTTTTAGATTATATTCAAATTCATTATACCTTTTCATCTATAATTTTTTTTCATAAATGCTAAAATATATTTTCAGTTTTATAGTTACATCACTATGCTTTATTTTGAAAAGGATCTGATTAATAAGAGTGATAATTTTTCTATTTTAACAGAAATAATATCCTCTAGATGCTAGCATTTATTCTCTAATATGTCAATGAACTTTTCTGCTAATACAATAGCTTTCTTTATATTAGAAATTATACTTTTAAAAAAAGCTACTAATTTGATAATTGGGTGACTTTCTTACTACTCTCTTCTAAAGACTTGGTCATAGCTACCTTATAAGACTTATATTGCTCTTGCAAGTCGAAAAGCTCTTCAATCTTTTTTTTAATACCTGCTTTGATATACACAATTCTTCATTTTCTTGCCTTAACGAAGTTTTACAGTTGCTAATAATAGGCTTCATTTTTTAACACTTTTTTGCTTAATATAATTTTTAACTGCCTTATTTAACAAATCTTTCACTTTGGTATGGATACTATTTACCTATTTTAGCGATAATAGATATTTTCGTGATGTAAGATGTCACTATATATCTATTTTGATGAAACAAGAAAGCTGGTTAAGTTGCTTTGAGTAATATACGTGAAAAGATGGTGTTAGTATACCAGTTATTGTTACTATAGGTAACTAATAAAAATCTTGAGAATTTTATAGATTCAGAAATTTTAGAAATTTTACAAAAATATAGTCATATATATCAATGTAGTGAGAGATCTGCTAGAAAACTCTGATCAAAAATGCATATGACACTTAACCAATGGTCAATGAGAAAAAATCATTTAGCAGAGATATCCTAACACTAAAGAAATTTTGCCAAATTAATACATAATCATGTTTTTTGTGATACAAATAGCAAGTTTTTTATTAATTCATTTTATGATTGCTTGTCTTTCAATTTCGCAATTCTGGCTTTAAGCTCAATATTCTTAGCCTTAATTTTATTGTTCTTAACCTCAAAATCGCTAGTGCATTATTTTAATAAATTGGTCTCACTGGAATCATCTATTTTAGATTGCATGCTTATGTGATATAGTATTATTTATGCTTTATATATTCAAAAGTAAAAATCATATGATTTTCCCTTACAGCCTGTAAGTAAAAAAAAATATAGAGAATATTAAAAATAATCAGCCACCAGGACATTTTATTAAAATAGTAAATACAAATAATAATTAGATTATTTTTTTTCAAATTTTATAGACTTTCTTTTTGTGATGATGATAATCTTGGTAGAGAAGATACTGTGGAGCTATTTTCTATATTACTACTAAACTAGTTGAAAGCATATAATATAGAAGAAATATATTGATGTGCAAGATATTCTATAATTATAAGTATGTATTAATTTTAAGCACGTAAAATATAAGAATTACATTTTATATACTCGTATTGTCAATAAAGTTCAACAAATTTAAATACTGTATTCCTATCTATTGGCTGTATCAGAATTTTAACTGTACACAAATTATAAAAATGATGTATCTCATCCATATCTTGAATGAGAATATTTAAATACATCTCAATTCTGGCAATTTGGATCTCAATAATACCAAAATCATCTTTGTCAGACTTGCATTCTTTGTAAGCCTAATATATTTCATTGTTCATCTCTTTCCAAATTTTTACCCTATCATTTTTCTTTTTTTATTTGTCACAAATGATATGGAACTTTTACCATAAATTAATTTATATGACCTATTATTATAATTAGCAATGAATATAATATCTAGTCATTTTTCAACTCCTCTTCGATCTTTATTAACTATACTTTGACGTTCAGCTATAAAAATATAATCAGATTTTTCAATTAGAAGATCTTTTAATGATACTCAAATTATTGAAACTATTACATCGGTTATATATGTCTTTTTATTTTATGACTTAACTAACTTTGAACTGAAAGCAAAATTTTTCTAAATATTTCTCCTATACAGAATAATGTTAAATATAATTTCAAACAGAAAATTTAAAAAATGGCAAATATAATTGTTAGGGTTCTTATTACTGAAATACTCACAAGATATCAAATATACTATCAACAGAGCAATTAGCCAATCATAATGAAGTTACATGAATAACGCAGTATAACGATCTCTTAATTCAAAATTCTGAAAATACTGAGAATTCTGTGAATTCTGAAAATATGGAGGATCTATGTAATTCTGAAGATCTTTCAAATACTGATGATAATCATAATTTTACAAATTAAATGAAGTTTAAGAATATTTAGTGTTATACGTATTTTTAATATTTTAAATCTTATTGTTATTTTTGTTATATTTTATATTTTTATTATTTTACGTATTTTTATTATTCTCAATATATTTATTTTACTTATATTTTATTTTGCTAAATTAGTTAGTTTATAGCATAGTAATTAATTAGCCATGACAAAAGAAATTTTGTATAAATAGATAGACTTTTGCCTATATTGTAAATTAACTTTTTTGCATATTTGTAAACTCTCTTACAAATACAAGTTTTAATATTAATAAAGGAATTATTCAAAACTTATATCTTTCTGCCTCTTCATGTCTTCATATAATCTGATATGATTCCTACACATTATTTGTAATTGAGTTCATCATCTAAATTCTTTAATTAAAATTATTCATAATCTCATCTTTCAAGTCTTCATACTTGATAGATTTGTATAAGTCTAACGCGTAAATTTAGTAAAGTTAAGAGTTAAGCAGATCTTAACATCTTGACTGCAATAAGTCACAGTTAGAAATTTTGAGTAGAGACTTGATAACGTGATCACCTCAAATTAAAGAATTTTACGGTGATACTATATAAGATTTTATTAACATAAAATTGATAATTATTAGGTTGCAAAATATCTTGAAATCATACAGTAGTAGCTTAAGAATATTTTTTAGATCAATAAAATATGATTTTTTACTTAACCATAATTCTCTAGCTTTAGCTCATTTTATTTTTGCTGAACTTGTAATATTTCTTAATAATTCATCACTATAATAAAAAAGCTAAATTTTTAATTTGATACTACTAGAAGTTGTAACAATTACAAGAATTTTTCCTATTCTTCTTTTCTATATTCATATTGAATAAAAGATCCTGTAGTATATAATACTTAAATATAGTTAATAATTAGTAATGTTTAAAATTTATTATTATAATTAAACATATTTATTTCAATTGACAATTGTCTAAATAGAGGAGATTTTTGCTATATTTTATCATATCAAAATTCAGATTTTTCATTAGTTTTAATACCTGGTCTAAAATATATCTGTGAATACAAATTATTATTTCTCAAGACTCTTTTTATATGTTTAGTTATTGATATAGTATAAGCATCTTTAATAGATGTTGAAGTTGATAGTATTTTCATATTTTTAATAGAAATACTATATTTTTTATTATTTGTAACAGAAGTCAATTATATAATAATTATAATTTTTGAATATTTTTAACTATATAATCTGGTTAAAATTTAGTATACTTTAAAATACATATAAGATCATCATATACTTTTGTTACTAAATAGTTTATTTTAATAATAAGTTAAAATTTTTTGTAAAAAGAAATATAGGACAGCTTCACTTACTAATCATATATTTCGTGATCTAAGTAAAAAATATTATTTCTGTAAAATTCTGAAAATAAAGACCATACTCTCCTGATAAAGATTTAAAATCAGCTTTACCATCTATTATTGTTTGAATAGGTTCTATACTATTAGAGTCAGATTATTCTACTTGTTTATCATCATTCTCTTTATAATAACTTTCATTATCATCATTTTCTTCATAGTAACTTTCATTATCATCACTTCCTCTATAGTAACTTACATCATTATTCTCTCTGTAATAAATTTTATCATCATTCTTTTCATAATAATTTTCATTATTATTCTCTTCGTAATAACTTTTATAATTATTATTTTCTTTATAAAATCTTGAAGTTTTATTAAATGAAATGAAGTATTTTGTAAAATATATTCATTATATTATATATCAAAATTTTTAGAAGTTATATATTTCTGTTATTGGCTATATTACCTTAGTTAATCTATAAATTAATATATTATTAATACTACTAATATTAATACTTATTAATAATTTTAGATATTACTGATATTTTTTAATAAATTCTGGCACTAAATTTCAAAGTTCTCATCATAGCATCATATTGTAGTCACAATAATTTCTGAAAGTTCATACTTCTAGTGCAGCATGATTAGATTTTCTACTTATATTAATATTTGGAAACAGAGTTCTTGTCAATGTATAAATTATTTGCTTATTTATAGATCTTATATGAAAAAACAAGCATTTTAAATACAATTGTAAAATTTCAAGTTCTTAGTTTTTAAAATATAAAATATTAAATAAATATTTTTAATATAGTAAAATAAGAGAAATATTAAATTTATTTTATCTAAAAGTATATTAGATTTGTTTGATTTATTTTGAATATTTTCAGGTTCATGATCACTTACTTTCATTATATTTAAGGTTAAGTTAACAAAATCTTGTCTTTGTGACATAAATAAGCAAATTTTAAGCTTATTCTTAAATAGGCTAATTAAAATGATGTTGTCATGATAGTTATAATATTTGATGAATTTGACATATTTGATATTAATAATTATTGATTATTAGCATTTGTAAATGAGTTATATATTTTATCTTGTTGATTATAAAGATCTATAGATAAATTGTTATCATATTAATCAAAAATATCATTTATGAATTAATCATCTAATATCATTATATTATCACATAAAGTAATTTCAGATTTTAGGATATACAATTCTCTTAATGTATAATCTTAAATTTAAAATAAATTAATAATATTTTTTATAGTATACAATAAAATATATAAATAAAATTATTTTACTTACCATCATTACCAATATTATTCAAATTAGAGATTTTACTTTAATAAAAGTTCACATTAAGAATTGCATTTCTTTAATTACTTTTTTTTAGTATTTGCATCTATAGTATTAACTTATAGTTCAGTTTTTTCTGATTCAAATTTTCTTTTATTTTTTCTAATAGAAATTTTGTAATTCAATTTTCTTTTTACAAGTATTCTTTTATTTTTTTGTAGTTTAGATTCCTTATTCAAATCAGGTTCCTTGTGCAAATCAAACTCCTCATTAAAATCAGATACCTTATGCAAATCAAATTTTTCATTCAAATCAGATTCTTTATTTAAATCTAAATTGGATTATCCGTTTAAATTGTATTTTTTATTTGAATCAAATTCTTTATTTGTATTTTTACTTTTATATTTAATAGAAGATTTGGTAACTAAAATTATATAATAGTTATATTAATTGTATCAAAATCTGAATGAAAATAAAAATATGACAAAATATTATTTATCTATCATTTTTTTATTACCCCTGTCTTTACCTTTACCTCTATCTCTATTTCTGCCACTACCTCTACCTTTGCTTTCACCTCTGCCTCTATTTCTACCTCTTTTATTGCCTATCTCACTGCCTCTATCTTTTTCACTATCTATTTCTTTGCCTTTACTTTTGTTTTATCCAATTTTACTTTTATTTGTTATAAATATTTCAGTTTTTATTTAATAAAATAAGGATGGTTAAGCCCTGTGCTAATATTTTATAAAAGAAAGTTTTAGTGGCTTTGAGATACAAATAGACTAAAATAATATTTAAATGATTGTTATATCAAAGTTTAATTATAATTACTACGTTATAATATGTGATTTTAATATATAATATAATATTACAAATAAGCTATAAAAATTTAGTTTATATTAAAAGTTTCTTAAAATCAAAATTGAGTTTAATATTAAAATAATTATATTTATGGCAATGTCACAATATTTAAAATAATATAATTATAGTATTACAAGTATATTACAAAGTAAATATATTATTACATTATCGTAATAGTAATAATATAATACAATTAAAGTATTATTGCAAAATTACAGATTTTAGCAAAGTATTATTTTAATATATTATGTAATCTATTGTTTAAACTAGTAAATATTTATTTTAATATTTTTTAATAAATAATTAAAATAATATTTATATTTATTATTAAATAATATTAAACATTTTTTATAATAATTATATTTACAAATTAAAATAATAATATTTAATAAATCTAAAATTTTTGATAATAACAATTTTTTTTATAATAATAATTATCATTAAAAATACTTTAAGTTAATAAAAGTACTTTTATATTAATATGCTTATTATTAAAACTTAGAAGTTTAAATATTTATTATTACTATATTTTTAAAAATAAGCAACTCTCAAAAATAAATAATTCTTGTTTTATATAGATTTAAAAATAAGCAATATCTTAAAAAAAGTAAATTATTTTTTTAATAAATTTTTTTAAATAAATAAATAATTTAACTTTATAGATATATTATTAATATATTTAATTATTTATTTATTATTACAATAAAAAAATATTATAAATTAATAAATTATTAGTATTTATCTAAAAATATCATAAAATTATTTGCTAAGTTGCTTTCTAATAGAAAAAAATAATTTGTAATATCAGACTTATTAATAATATTAATAATATTTACTATTCTCATCAATAATAATATTAAAATAATTATTAATAATATTATTATATTTATAATTATACTAATTGAAATGATTCAAATCAGCTAAAAATCAGATAACTAATTTTAGACTGATTTTAATACAAATTGTAATCACTAACATTTTAATTTTTTAGTTATTTATAGCTAATTTGCCATATTTTCTGATTAGAACAAATACATAATGATTAATACTGATCAATTTCAATCAGACATAATTATTCAGTATCAATTCAAACTCTAATTGACATCAATTAACTCTAATTGAATAAGCAATTCAATTATAAATCAGCTTAAATTAGCCTCAATTAGAGTTCTAAATGAGTCGAGTCGAGTTGAGTTTAAAGATCAACTCGACTCGACTTTCTTTTTTCAAGTCAAGTCGAGTCAAATTTATTTTATAAAATCTTTCAATTTGATTTGATTCGAGTTATATAAATTTTAAACTCAACTCAATTTGACTTGATTCGATTTTAACTCAATTCGATTTTGAAAAAAAAAATGAAAAGATCGGGAGGAGGGGAGAGAGAGAGAAAAGGGAAAAAAGTAAATGATTTTTTTATTGTTCAAGTCGAACGATTTCTTATTGTTCTTCTTGAATGATTTTTTATCATTCAAGTCAAATGATTCTTTATCATTCTTCTTGAACAATTTTTGTATTGTTCAATCAAATAATTCCTTATTATTCTTCTTGACAATTTTTGTATTGTTCAAGTCAAACAATTTCTTATTGTTCTTCTTGAACAATTTTGTATCATTCAAGTTGAACAATTCCTTATTGTTCTTCTTGAATGATTTTTGTATTATTCAAGTCAAAAGATTCCTTATCATTCTTCTTGAACGATTTTTGTATCGTTCAAGTTGAACAATTCCTTATCATTCTTCTTGAATAATTTTTGTATTGTTCAAGTTAAACAATTTCTTATCATTCTTCTTGAACAATTTTTGTATCGTTCAAGTCGAACAATTCCTTATTGTTCTTCTTAAACAATTTTTGTATCATTTAAGTCGAACAATTCCTTATCATTCTTCTTGAATAATTTTTATATCATTCAAATCGAATGATTCCTTATTATTCTTCTTGAATGATTTTATATCATTCAAGTTGAATGATTTCTAATCATTCTTCTTAAAACAATTTTTTTATTATTTAAGTTGAACGATTTCTTATTGTTCTTCTTAGAACGATTTTTTTATTGTTTAAGTCAACTTGAATCAACTCAAATTAACTCAAATCAAGTCGAGTTTAAATTGAGTTGAGTTAAATATTTAACTCAACTTGAATTTAGCTTGACTCGCAAATCATTGAGTCAAAAAAACATAATCTTAACTTGATTTGAATTCGACTCAGCTTATCTGACTCGTAAATTAACTCGACTTGTCTAGAACTCTACTAATATTTGTTTAATTAATTCTTTTTCATCTAAATAAATATTTGATAAGTTTTTTTTTAGAAACTGTACAATAATGATATGAATATTTTATATTAGCAGATAATGACATTAAGCAATATACATATTTATTTTAATTTATGACTAATATATATTATATTCAGTTACTGGTTAATTATAAATAAAATTATGAATAATATCTAAACATTTATAAAATGTTTGCCTAATTTCCATTCTAAAATATCTGAATTACATTTTATTTGATTTTTTGCCTTTAGAATAGGAAAAAATCTAATAATTGCTTTTGAATATTACTTATTGTATTATTTTTATGATATATTTCTTAATGTTAAAAGATTGGATGTTGAAATGTTTTACCAAATCATTACAAGTTATTGAATTTGAATATAACATTAATGATATAAGTTTAGAACTAATAGAAATTTTTATTCGAGTTTTTTTCTATCAATCTGTATACCATTCTATTATAAATATATAATTAAATCACTATAAATTATTTTTTAAAACTAATTTTATTAAATAAATAATATAAACTTATTTTACATAAAGTTTTTTCTTGATAGTCAAATCTATATGCATTAGCAATAATATTATTTTCAAGTAATTTTGTAATTGTAGCAAATATTATACAATATTTTAAAAAACAATTAATACTATTTAAAGAAGTTATAAGCTTTTTCTTAAATTCAGTATTTAGTTTAATCAATGATTGTTGAATTTACTTTGCTGAATTTGATAATGGAATTTTTGATTACTTATTAAAAAATTGACAGATATCATTAATAGCTTTTTGACTTAACTTATATTTTATAATTAATTTTATATATTCTTTAATAATATTATTAGAAAATAAATTGTCATTTTTTCTTATAGTAGATTAATTATCTTATTTGAAAAATTTAACTCCTTTTTAAATTTATTTAAAGAAATATCTAAATATTATTCTTTAGACTCATTTAAAATACTTCTATATTAGATAAATTAAATTGCAATAAATTATTATTAGAATTATATGATTTATTTTCTATTAAATGGTCATTAAAGATAATTTTAATATATAATAAATTATGTTAATATAATTTTTAATATAAAACTTAAGAAAATAAAAATAAATTTTTATTTTATTATTATTGTTATCATGTTCTGAAAGTAAAATATCAAAAGAATTAGAATTTTTTTGTATTTATTTTGTTTCTTTAAATAGTTAAGATTCTAATATTTTTAGCAAATGCTTCTTTTATTTTATATGATTACTATATGCAGAATTTATACTAAATTACCTTTCACAAATAGAGCAATAATTTCTATTATTTTGTATTAAATATTTTTTTAAAGTTATATTAAAATAAATTCAAATTTATAAACATATGAAATTTTATAATATATATATTATTTTATAATTACATGATCATAAAATACTATATATATTATTAATTATATATAAATTTTAATTACAAATTGTTAAATTGTAATTTAAACTTAAATAAGTTTAAACTCTTTAATATTCTTTTAACCTTTTAAATTAATTTCTTATTTTTTCTAATAACAAACCATATTTTAATATAAAAATAAAAATAAAAATGATAATATTTAGCCAATACAACTTAGTAATAGAGTTACAAAAAAAATAATAACTCAAGAAAATAATATTCTAATTACTATTACCAACTTTAATAATAGTTATACCTCTTTTATTAATATATTAGATAATACAAATCAAAAAATAAATGAAAAAATATTCTTGAAAAAATAATAATTTTCATAATAATAAAATTGAAATACTAGATAATTCTTCAGATAAGCTATCTCAGAAAAAATTGTGTTCAGAAAATCCATTTTTTGAATTTATTTAAACAAATATTATTAACAAAAATCAAATTAT